TGAATTAGTTATTTGAAGATATAAAAAGGGGGTACTACTGCACAGACTCTTACTGCAGCAGCTGTATCTGGATATTCTGCTTCATTTTTGTACAGTGGGAGGAAGTGGAGACGGCCATCTTTATATGTTGATGTTGACCAAGAAGAAACTAAAAATGTGTAAGTATATGGCCAAAAGTATGTGGACACACCTGCTGCAGTTAAATCTACGTTTGTAAAATCTGAATTACATAACAAACCTTACGCATGAAACATAAACAAGGCCTGTGAACAAGACCAAAACTTTCTCTGATGCTTTTATTGTGTGCGCATTAGAAAGAGCCGACATGAATAACCAGATTCTTGTTTGCGTGTTGGAACACGTTGAACGCCTGAGGCTGAGTGAGTGAATTACTGCATTTATTTTACAATCCGATAACTGCCTCAAGCAAAACAGCCACTTAAAAACATTAGACAGTAAATCTGCAGCAGAGTTTTAAGTCTTTTTTTATTATTATACAAGGTCAAAAGGTTACATGTCCACACAGCCACAGTTACACAGCCCCAACCAGAGTTGGTCCTGCGCAGACCAATTAAAATTTCCCATGTTCCCTACCACGTTTCAACACAGTCACACACACACACAGCAGTTTGCCTGGGCTTCACACATTACACCACAGAATGTCCCAAAACCAAGAGTATAAAGTACCCAAATACTGTACATATATCCTACAAATATGATGTTAACATTGATGTCTGTGTTCATGTATTCAATAGCTGGAGGGCTCATAGTCTGAGCCGGGACTGAGAAACAGCTCCTCCTAATGTTTACAGCAAGGATAGATCCGTCCCCCTTTACTCTTCTGCTCTCTCTCTCTTTCCTGATAAAGACCTTTCCTTATCTGAACGAAGTAAATCAGGAAAATCCCTCTGGTGACTACAAACATAAATAAACATTTATGTACCACACTGTAATCTGCTCTGGAGTGTGTGTGTGTGTGTGTGTGTGTCTGTGTGTGTGTTGATGATTTACAAACTGCATTAATCCTTTTTTGGTTACAGTTATGAAATACATATATATATGTATACTAGTTTTCTAGAATATAAGAAATTAATTCAACAAGTATGTTTAAACTTTCAATGAAAAATAAGACATAAAATAAGCATATAATATTTTCATATGTTATCATACTCCATGTATTTAATTAATGAAGGAATTGAAATACTTCAACAGAGGTTACCTTTGATGTGCAGCAGACTGTTTCCCTGTTCACTGTTGCATGAATTATTATGAACTATTTTTAGTGAAACCTTGTTTTAGTGTCAGTGCAGCTGTTGAGTCAGATCAGTTCCTCTCCAGCTGAGGGAGGTTTTTGTACGACTCTGTGTCGCTGTGTGAACGCTGTGTAAAGTAAACTGCTGCATCTTCAGTCTGAACTCCACTGATGGTCAGAGTGAAGTCAGAACCAGATCCTCTTCCACTGAACCGAGCTGAAACTCCAGACTGACGGGTTGTAGCTAAATAAATCAGGAGTTTAGGAGCTTCTCCAGGTTTCTGAAGGTACCAGTGGAGGTAGTTACCAACACCTGAACTGGTTTTACATCTGATAGAGACAGTCTGTCCTGGAACTGAGATCCAGGAGACTGAGTCAGTGTTTTGTCCTGATGAACCTGGAAAACATGAAACAGAGGAGAAGGGTTATTGAGACAAATCCAGCTTGGAGAAAGATGATCAACAAAAAGTGCAGAAGTGTAAAGAATACAATAAATAATATTAAAAGAAATATATCATAGAGGTTGGTGATACTGGGTGCTGTACTGGGTACTGTGGCTGGGGAGGTTGGAGGTTCTGGGTGCTGTGGTTGTAGAGTCTGATGGCCGATGGTACAAAAGAGCCTCCATAGCACTTTGAGGCACAACCATTGCACTCCGGCTGTGCTGACCCCTGCGAATTCCCCAAATGTGGGAATCTTGATTTGCACTCTCTCCTGATTTTTATGATGGAGAAGGAAAAAAAGAGACCTCGGCTGCTATAGATTTGATCGTAGCAACTTCCAAGTCAGCACTGTTGTGGGAATATTCAGGCCACTGATGTCAAGGGTATTTAGACTTCACCTAACATACATGTTTTGATGGTGGGGGAAACCCACACAGATATGGGTGGACCATTCGTAGTCAAGCGTAGTTGCTGAGCAGATGCCTTTGTTGAAGTGAAAAAGACCTCGCCACAGCAAGAGAGATGTCCCAGCGGGCCTTGGGCAGAATAACATTAGGGTTCAGCTCTAGGGTTCTTATTGTTTTACTGTTACAAACAGACAAATTTATTGCTCAACCCCGCAGCTGTGGAAAAAACTCTCATTGGCTCTTGTGGAAACTCAGTGGAGTCACAGTCAACAGCGAGATAACGCCTTAAAATAAACGCAGCCAGATTTTTCACTTATCATGGGCAAACAGGGCTGAAAGGTCCTGAAAATCCGTTGAACTCATAATTTTCTCTGTTTTCCAGACTCCTGGCAGACAATTTGGAGGCCCTCTGAGGTTTCAAGGGGTTTAAGGCTTAAATGAAGTTATCCTTAACCGACCCCCCTCAGAGAAATTCATTCTCCACATTTAACCTCCATCCCAAGTACCAGGAGCAGCCAACATCCACTGTGTGACGCTCGGGGACCAACTCGTAGTACTAGTATAACAAATAAAACAAGTAATATTAAAGCAGCTCTGTGTTACAAACCGGGAGACTCTGGTCTTCAGACAGGTGACACAAGTATTCCTTATTCCTTCCTCTGTAGTGTCATGAGAATGGAAAAACTCTGGCATGCCTTCACCATCCTGGAGAAAAGATCAGCTCACAGAACACTGTTGAATGATGCCCATCAGAGGAAATATTCATTACTTTAACTTTAACAAAGCTACCCCAACAATGTCTTATTTCAAACTTTTTTTATATATCTTCTATAAATTGTAATATGATACATGTTTTTAATGATTGTATTTTTATTATTCCCATTTGTTTAATGTGTTGTGAGTGACAAACTTCCTCCCAGGGATCAATAAAGTATTTCTGATTCTGATTCTAGAGACTTTTTGTTTGTTGCACTCGTCAGACAGCGACAGTCCTCACACAATCATACAGAATGAACACAGATATTTACAGTGTGCAGACGAGGCGTATTGACAGTGTGGCTCCCTGAGAAATGTCCTGTGGCTGTTTGTCCTGGTTTTAAGGTGGAATTTCCTCCGTACCTCGCTCTCTTTCATTATCGTAATATGAAAAGACTGATGATGAAGAGTAATGATGACAATGTTTGTTCTGGCTCATTGACTGAAAAGGTTTCAGAAGGTGTGTCGTCACTTACAGTTTTCCAGGTTTCCTTTTTGCCTCACCGTCAAGTTTAAACCTGTCAGTGACATAATCCACCACTCAATAACCACTACTACACTACAGTGTGTGCACAGTGCATCAGAGCACACAGCAAGGTGCTAACTGTAGACAGTAGCTGCTTCCTGTTGATGGATACACAATATATTCACAATGAGGAGGAAAACTTTACAAACACCTTAAAAGTGTGTGTTTTCAGTTGTCACTGGAACAGCCACTGGAATCATGTACCTCACAGCAGCTCAACCTGTTCCACCAGTGGAAGAGGACTACGGTTTTATTTGGGATTGATTGTGAACTGTTACCTGTTACTTTCAAAGTATGTTCACTTTAGTGTTACAGTTGATTCACTATTTTAGTTTGGTTTTCAATTTGGTTTACTTCAGTTAGTTTGTTGAGGTTTTTTCTATTCACATAAAAATAATAAAAATAAAAATAAAAGAATTGTGGATTGAGGAGGAAAATTTTACAATTACTTACTAACCAAATGAGAGGTGGCAGCCGGCTTGCCTACCCCCCCCCGATGGTAGTGTTCCTGTGTTCCTTTCATACTCAAATGTATATTCATATTGTCT